AAACGCGTATTGCAATCACACAAATTCGTATCGTAAACAAACGAACGCATATCACATTGATTTTGAGTTGTGGTGAAATAAAGCAACATTACCCCCCCCCCCAACGAATTGACATCTCCTCAATCCATCGCTGTAGCCGGTAAAAACACATCACAGGATATTATCCACAGATTACCGAGTAGCCTATAGACCTAGCACCTGCAGGGTTGAACGCGCAAGCTCTCACCAATCGTTATTCGATATGGACGAAAAAAAAATGCTGCGTAGCACCAAAGTGCGGCGAGGTCGACAGTTCGGCATGCACGCGTGAATTCCGCGGCGATTCATGAGTAGGTTATTCATGATTAGGTGATTCTTTAATGACTCGGTGAGATTACGAGCGACCATTCGAACAACATCTCGCTGCGAGAAAAATTCCCCACGACTAGTAAGCGAGGCTTTCGCCGCCGCCGCGCCGCCACGAGAAACACTCGGCCGACCCCGCGACCCCGTCACGTCTCGCGGCGGTGGCGCCCCTAGCAGCGCGACCCGCTCCTCCTCGTCTCGCACAGCGTCTCGACGGCGGCCGCCAGCGTCTCGTCTCGCCCGACCCCCACGCGAGCACGCGCCAGCAGCGCGCGCGCAGCGTCGCCGCGGCCCGCCGCGCGTCCGCACGCGGGACGCCAGCCCACAGCAGGCACGCGACCTGCTGCGCCGGCGACCGCCTGTGACCCTGCGCTACCCCGTACCCGCGCCGCTGAGCTCCCGGTGACCGGAGAACCTCGCCGACCAGGCGGTCGCCGCCGCCGGACAGCTTGTTGAGGAATGCGGTGAGCGTCTGCTGGAAGTCGACCGTGCACAGCCACTCCCCCGTCGCCATGGCGACGTCGCACGCGCGCAGACGCCGGCCCAGCAGACGATGTTTCCCGTAGAGCGGCAACGCGTCGTACGTCGCCAGCAGCAGCTGCAACGACAGAAAAAAGCTGTGATCGTGAAAAGCATCGTCTATTTAATGATTAATAAATCAATTAGCGGCATAATTACATCAATTCTGTGTGCATCCACACTCAAACTGGTAAATCTCCTGGGGAAACACGCTTCGTACCACACGTATACAATTTAAAACACATTTCTTATAACGAGTAGACTAGACTGGTATGGTACCACATCAACCTACACTCAAACTGCAATAGTTAAAAAATTCTGCAGACCAGACGCCATACCATGCGTATACAATTAAAAATACACTTGTTTTAACGAGTAAACTAGACTGGGATAGGACCACATCAACACAAACTGCTGTAGTAGCTAGATAAGTACAGATCGAGATCCAGATCCTACAAATAGAGCTATAGATCCTACAGAGCAGCCACCCATCGTACCTTGTTTCGATGACTAGACACTCATATGTTCTAGACACTCTACAGTCACTAAGAATAGAAGTCAAAGATTAGTACCTGTCGAACGTTGGTGTCCTGCCGCAGCCCGGCGGACGACGCCACCGTGTCTAGCAGCAGCGACACCTCCCTCGTCGTCAGTCCGCCGCAGACTCCGCGTAGCGCGGCGACGCAGCGCGCGTCCTCGAGGTAGGTGGCGCCACCTACCAGCTTCTCGATGCATTCTGCGATATCGAATGGTTTCGGATTGTTCATTTCGAGGCGGTTTTTTTTAATCGCGGTCGTCGTTTTTTTGTCGCGCGGTGCGGAAGAATGGAATATATTACTTTTAATTTTACTGATTATGATTATAATTAGTTTAGAATGTTTTTCGTTTCAAGAGAGAGACGTAAGTCGCGACCCGCGGTTGCGATTCGCTCGTGCATTTTTTTTCGTCGCGCACGCAAAGTCCGAGTTTGTCGCGCTTCTCTCGAGCTCGTTCGAAGCGACCCTTACGCACAGGTACGACTCTTACACACAGGTACGACTCTTACACACAGGTATGACTCTTCACACAGGTATGGCCCTTATATACAGGTACGACCCTTACACGCAGGTTCGGGTGCACGCGTGATGCGAGACCGCGCGACCGTTACCTTCGTAGCCCTCCAGTCCCTCCTCTATTCTCCACAGCGCGTCGTCCAAGGTCGCCGTCTCGTCCGACGAGAACCCATCGCCGCCTCCTCCACCCAACGACGAGGCGCCGTCGCCGCGGCAACCCGCCACATCTCGTCTCCTGGATTCGTCCGGAAAAATCTCGTCGTCGACCGACGAGAGCGAGTCGACGATCCGCGTTAGTCCTGCCGGGATAGATCCTGGCGGGAGAGATCCCGGCTCGCCCCCAGGTCCTTCCCCCTCGCGCGCTGCCGCGGCGGTGGCGGCGGAGAGGAACCGAGAGAGGGCGCCACGCGAGATCGCGAACGACGGCAAACAACGGCCGCGAACTGCGGAACCGCGCGGCAGCCTCCGCGAGAGTTCGTCGCCAGGGCGACGGCGGGCCGTTCCCGCGGACAGGTCGTCGATGAGGTCGCCGCAGGAGTCGGCGACCCGCGAGAGGTCGCGAGGGGTCGTCGCCGTGGCAATGTCCACGCGGGGGCGGCTGCGTTCGATTGCGCCGGCGATGGCTGCAACGAGAGATCACAGACTGTCGGTCATCATCGAATAATTGCAATTCAATTCAATTTACTTTATATAAGTTAAGCATAATAGTTAACATATTAGTTAAGCAAGTTAATAGACAATGCTGATAAAATTTAAAAAATGAAACTAAACAAATAGAACTGATGGAGGGCAAAATGCAAGCCCATCCGTCGTCAGAAACAAAATTAGTTTTTGACGTCAGTCTTGACATCAGTCTTATCAAGTCTAAGAGTTTAATCTTAGGAGTTTAATCTTAGAAGCCAGCATTCAGGTGCCCAGAAACAAAATTAGTTATAACATTGGTCTTAACATTAAAAATGTTCTTGTATACCGGACCTCTATACACCAAGTATGAGAAACTCGCAACTTTACGATGTTTCTGTCGACAGTATCCGACCAATTATGTTTCCGACATCGGGGCCCCACCGATCGTATACACGTCCCTTTTTTATACACCGTCGAATGAAGGGGAGAATTAAAAATCGTAATTAGACCCTTAGATTATCGCTTTTGTTTCTCGCGTTTCGCAAAAGAGTCACTAGAAGTTGTAAGGTCACCTTCGAGCAACTCTGTCCACATCCCCGATGCAGCGACGGTCGTCAACGCCGCGTCGGTTGCCACGGCAACGAGCAGGTCGTCCACGAGGCGACACCGCGCATCGCGTCTTGCGTCCTTGGATTCGTTCGAAGGTCGTGCGTCTGCCGTCGCCACCTTGCCCGCGACCTTGTAGTCTTCAGAAGGTCGCGCGTCTCCCGTCTGCGGAGGGCGGTCGTCGTTCGTCGTTGCCGTGGCGACGTCGAGCGTCGCGTGACGCAGGAGGTGGCGGAGGATGCGGAGGCGGAGAAGTGGCGCGTCTCCGGCGGCGGCGCAAGCGATCACCGCGGCAACGATGACGCGACCCGCATCCACACGGACCGCAGCAAGGCTCTGTAACACGTGAAGCGTGAAGAAGAAAGAGTGTATTTATGTTATATATATTATGTTATAGTTTAGCATAGTTATAATTAGCAATATTAATTTGAATCTGTCAAATTTATAAAGTGTGAATGTGCGAGCATTCCGTCGATGTTTCATGGCAAATTCCTAGACAGAGACATGACGAGTTCGTTCCGTGACGATAAACGATTGTGCAAATTGGTACAAGGTGCTGGGCAGCATTGTTACAGGACCTAACACAGACACAGTCCATCGGGACAGATTCGACGCAATTGAGAATGATCGAGGAGCGTGATAACAGCACATAAACGCTCGTATATTTCTCTCGGGATCCCAGCGTACCTGAGCGAGATACTCCAGCCAATCGCAGGCCAGCAGCAGCTCGACGTAGAATTCCTCTGGCGTGACCGCCGAGGCGAGGGAAGCGACGCGGCGACGCGATCCAGGTATGGCGCGGGCCGCGAGCGTAGGTGGCACCACGTGTTGTAGAAGATCAACGCGTGCAGCGTCGAAGACAAGTGGCGCTTCTCCTCGTCGGTCGTCAAAATTTCGAGACCTGCCGAAAATTTATGTGTTTATACAAATATTATATTTATTTTTATTTGTATTTTTATATAATATATTGTTGTATATATTATTTCCGTCACCGATATAGTCCCTCGGACTTTGAAGATATTATTTATGAGGTTACCTGCGAGGAAGAATGATAGGTTGCGTAAAAGGGAGGAGAGAAGGGAGGAAGAGTGACAATTTTGATTTTGAGAAAAACTCGTACGGTACGTGTTTATTAGGAGGGGGGATGTTATTACCGATGTTTTTAATAGTTTCCGCATGTTAAACCGATTTGTATGAGATGTTATTACCGATGATTAATAGATCCAATGTTAAACCGATGTTAGATGATGTTATTACCGATGTTTTAAATAGTTCCGATGTTAAACCGATGTTAGAGATGTTATTACCGAGAGTTAATAGTTCCGATGTGTAACGATGTTTAGAGATGTATATTACCGATGTTAATAGTTCCAATGTTAAACGATGTTAGATGATGTTCATTACCGATGTTAATTAGTTCGGCAATGTTAAACGATGTTACAGATGTATTACGCGATGTTATAGATTCCGATGTTAAACCGCATATTAGAGATGTTTTATTAGCGCGATGTCTTAATAGCATCGCAATGCTTAAAGCGCGATGTTAGAGATGTTCATTACCGATGTTAATAGTTCGATGTTTAAACCGATGTTTTAGAGATGTTAATTACGATGTTAATAGTTCCGATGTTAAAACCGATTTTAGAGATGTTATTACCGTGTTAATTAGAGTCCGATGTTAAACCGATATTAGAGATGTTATTACCGATGTTAATAGATCGAATGTTAAACCCGATGTTAGAGATGTTTATACGATAGTTAATAGCATTCCACATGTTTAAACCGATAGTTAGAGATGTTAATTACCGATGTTAATAGTTTCGATGTTAAACCGATGTTAGCATGATGTTTTATTACGATGTTAATAGTTCCAATGTTAAACCGCATGTTAGAGGATGTTCATTACCTGATTTAATAGTTCCGATGTTAAACCGATGTTAGAGATGTTATGTACGATGTTAAGGAGATCCGATGTTAAACCGATGTTAGAGATGTTATTACGAGTGTTACTAGTATCCAAGGTTAAACCGATGTTAGAAGATTATTACACATTTACTCGAGGTGTTAATAGAATCCGATGTTAAACCGATATTAGACGGAGTTATTACCGATGTTAATAGTTTCGATTGTTAAACCGATGTTAGAGATGTTATTACGATGTTAATAGTTCCGATGGGGGGTTAAACCGATATTAGAGATGTCATTACGATGTTAATAGCTCTCCCGCATGTAAACCCGCAATGTTAGAGATGTTAATTACCGATTGTTAATAAGTTCCGATGTTAAACCATGTAGGAGATGCTTATTACCGATTGTTATAGTTCCGACTGTTAAAACCGATGCTTCAGAGATGTTATTTACGATGTTTAATTAGATTCCAATGTTAAACCGATGTTAGAGATGTTCATTACGATGCTTAATAGTTCCGATGTTAAACCGATGTTTAGAGATGTATTACGATGTTAAATTAGTTCCGATGCTTAAACCGATATTAGAGATGTTATACCGATGTTATAGTTTCCGATGTTAAACCGATGTTAGAGATGTTATTACCATGTTAATAGTTCCGCTGTTAAACCCGATGCTTAGAGATGTTATTACCGATGTAATAGATGCCGGCATGTTAAACCGATGTTAGAGATGTTATTACCTGATGTTAATAGTCTGCCGATGTTAAACCGATTGTTAGAGATGTTATTACCGATGTTTAAATAGTTCAATGTTAAACGATGTTAGAGATGTTATTACCGATGTTAATAGTTCCTCGATGTTATTTACGATTGTTAATAGTTCCGATGTTAAACCGAGATCATTAGAGATGTTATTTCCCGCATGTTAATAGTTCCGTTGTTTAAACCGATCTTAGAGATGTTATTACCGAATGTCAGTTAATAAGTTCACGATGTTAACACCGATGTTTAGAGATGTTATTACCGATGCTTAATAGTTCGATGTTTAAGAACCGATGTTAGAGATGCTTATTACGATGTTAACTAGATCCGGATGTTTTAAAACCGATGTTAGAGATGTTATTACCCGATGTTATAAGAGCAATGCTTAACTGATGTTAGAGATGTTATTACCGATTGTTTAATAGATCGCTATGTTTAAAACCGATGTTAGAGATGTTATTTACCGATGCTTAATAGTTCCGATGTTAAACCGTGTTAGAGAGGTTATTACGATGTTAATCAGATCGCATGTCTAAACCGATGTTAGAGAGTTATACCGATGTTAATGTTCCGATGTTTAAAACCGATGTTAGAACTGTTGATTACCGATGTTAATAGACTCGATGTTTAAAACCGACCTGTTTTAGAGATGTTATTACCGAGGTTAATAGATCGATGTTTAAACCGATATTAGAGATGTTATTACCGATGTTAATAGGTCTTTCGATGTTTAAACCGATATTAGAGATGTTTAATTACGCGCATGTTTAATAGTTTCCCGACGTGCTCTAAAACCGATGTTAGAGATTGTTATTACCGATGTTTAATAGCTTCCAATGTTAACCGATGTTAGAGATGTTCATTACCGATGTTAAATTATTCGCATGTTAACGATGTTAGAGATGTTGATTACCGCATGCTTAATAGATCCGATGTATAAACTGATCGTTAGGAGATGTTATTACGATGGTAATTAGATCCGATGTTAAACGCATTTTACGAGATGTTATTACGATGCTTAATAGATCCAATGTTAAACCGATGTTAGAGATGTTATTTACCGATGTTTAATACGATCCAATGTTAAAACGATGTTTAGAGATGTTATTACCGATGTTAATCTAGATCCAATGTTAAAACGATGTTAAGACTGTTATTACCGCCATTAATTAGTATCAATGTTAAACCGATGTTAGAGATGTTATTTACCGGATGTTAATAGTTCCGATGTTAACCGATGCTTAGAGATAGTTATACCGATGTTAATAGCCATCCGATGTTAAACGATAGTTAGAGATGTTATTACCGTATCGTTAATTAGATCCAGATGTTAAAACCGATGTTAGAGATGTTATTACGCATGCTTAATAGACTCCAATGTTAAACCGATTGTAGAGATGTTATTACCGATGCGTTATAGATCAATGTAAACCGATGTTAGAGATGTTATTTACCGATGTTATAGATCCAATGCTTAAACCGATGTTAGAGATGTTTATTACCGATGTTAATAGTTCGGCATGTTAAACCGATTTGTTAAGAGATGTTATTACGATGTTACAGTAGTTCGCATGTTGAAACGATGCTTTAGAGATGCTTATTACGATGTTAATAGTCTCCAATTGTTTAAACGATGTTAGAATGTTATTACGACGGCGGCCTGTTAATAGATCCGATGTTTAAACCGATGTTAGAGATGTTATTTACCGATGTTATAGTTTCCGCATGTTAAACCGCATGTTAGAGATGTTGATACGATTGTCTAATCGTTCCGATGTTTAAACCGATGTTAGCAGATGTTTACCGATGTTAATAGTTCGATGTTAAACCGATGTTAAGATGTTATTACCGATAGATAATAGTTCGATGTTAAAACCGATGTAGAGATTGTCTTTACCGATGTTAATAGTTCGATTGTTAAACCGATGTTAGAGATGTTATTACGCTGTTAATAGTTTCGATGTTAAACGATGTTAGAATGATTATTACGATGTGAATAGTTCCGATGTTAAACGATGTTAGAGATGTTTTATTACCGATGTTAATAGTGTTCCGATGTTTAAACGATGTTAGAGATGTTATTACGATTGTTAATTAGTTCCGATGTGCTTAACCGCACGCGTTAGCAGATGTTATTACCGATTTATAGATCCAATGTTAACCAGATTGTTCAGAGATGTTATTACGCATGCCTTTAATAGTTCCGACTGTTAACCGATGTTTAGGAGATGTTATTACCGCATGTTAATAGATCCGATGTTAACGATGTTAGCAGATGTTATTACGATGTTATAGTTCGATGTTAAACCGATGTTAGAGATGTGCGATACGATGTTAATAGTTCCGATTTAAACCGATGTTAAGAGATGGTACATTACCGATGTTAATAGTTCCGATGTTAAACGATGTTAGAGATGTTATTACCGATGTTAATAGATCCAATGTTAAAACCGATTGTTAGAGATTGTTATTACCGATGTAATAGTTCGATGTTAAAACCTTATGTTAGAGACTGTTATTACCGATGTTAATAGATCCGATGTTTAAAACCGATGTTAGAGATGTTATTACCGATGTTATAGATCATGTTAAACGAATGTTAGAGATGTTATTACGATGTTAATAGATCCAATGTTAAACATGTTAGAGATGTATTACCGATGTTAATTAGATCGATGTTAAACCGATGTTAGAGATGTTATTACCGATGTTGATAGATCCGATGTTAAACCGATGTTAGAGATGTTATTACCGCCATGTTATAGATCCGATGTTAAAACCGAATAAGTTTTAGAGGATCGTTATTAGACGCATTAACGCAAGAGAGTTAAGCGCAAATATGCACAATTGACATACTGCCGTAACATCCCCACAGTATCGCATACATAGAACAGAATAGCATAGCCATCAGGAGCTAGATAATAGAGGATGATATATATGTATCTCATATATACCTATATTGGCCAGTATATTATCCCCCTATATATATAAATATTATCCCCTATATTATCTTACTCCTGATATGCATAAGCATTGCCACGAATCAAGGACAGTTTGGACCCGCATAATGTTCCGCATATGCTGCTAAATAATCGCGGTTGCTGAAACTAGGCTTGGGCCGCCACGACACTGGCCTCAAATGGCGGTTGCCGTGATTAACCTGTTTTTATTTTTTTCGATAAAAATTTACCTCTCAATTAAAATATTTTATTAATTTATAATAATATAATTAATAATTTACCTTCAGTGACTTCGGCGACGGCGCTGGCCACTACGGACACGGCTTCCTCCATCCGACGTCGCTCTACCAGTAGCGACTTCGCCAGGCACAGAGCCGACTGTACGACAGCGAGTTCTGCGCTATATTCCATTTCCAGGCTACGGCTTTCGAAGTGGGGACCTGTGGTTTGTTTAGATGTTTGGACAGAATTCTTCATGAATATCATTAATTATACTCAGTCTTTCATAATCATATCTCGGACCAAGGATAGTTTGGGACCCCGCAAATGTGTTCTCGCATATGTGCTAAACTAATACGGGTGCTAAATTAGGCTTGGGTCCATATCTATACTTTGTAGTACCGTGTTACTGTTACGTGTATCTGTGTATGTTGTTTGTTACATGTACATTGTACATTAGTCCGAGATTCCTCTGACCAATGCCCACACCGACGATTTTGGATCTACCCCCCACCAAATCCACCAAAATCGTCGGTGTTGACATTGGTCAGAGGAATTTCGGACTAATTGTACATGTATGATGTACAATGGTGTACTGTACTGTGTTACCAATACCAACAACACTATAAAACTGTACACACGACCACTGGGGATGGCCGAGCGCGCCACCCGATGCGTTCTAATGACAAACCTGAATATGCTGATGAGAAAGCTCACTCACGTCACAGTTACGGAATGATGCAGATTTCAATAAACGGCCGCAGACGAAATATACACAATAAGCAACATCACCGCTCGTACGAAAGCTGGAATGTGATGGTTGCATGTGGATTACATGCCCAGGCGGTGCTGCCGCGTAGCGTCGGCGAGGGTACATTAACGAGGTAAACATAGTCGCGCTGGGAACGGGGATCAAAGTTAGCGCGCGCATGCGCATTGCCACGCGTTGGCCGCAGACCAGCAACACGGACGCATTCGTCGTGTTGGCGGTGAAGATGAATGAATACATGTGTTACGTTCTTCCGTCGTTGTATGGTCCGTGTTTGTTGTGAGACCGTATTTGTGCTTTCGAATTACGGAGACTAGTCAGGAATCGCAGAATCGCAGTCCTACGTAGATGGATTTCACGTGGAGTGTGTTGTATGGTTGAGTTTTGACGACTCGTGCATCGTACGTGACAATTTAGCGTGTTCCGTACCCTTTGCTTTGCCTTTGGCATTATTGCCTTGGACATCATACTTGACTGAGGCATAGTGAAGTTACTGCGTAGCCGACGTGCCCTGCAGCTGACTAGTCAATACCGGGTGCTAGTAAATAACACGAAGGATATTTTAAGTGGCGTTCCTACTTCTTAGTCATCGAAAAACTGGTCGATCGGCTGGCTATAAGTATAAGCTTACTTCAACTTGTTCCATGTGTTGTTATATATGTGTGTGTATGTGTGTGTCACGACTTTGACGCGATCCAAACTTTTACGCAGTGAGCTGTCGCTCTCTGTCTTTCGCAGAGTGAAGTGGCTTGTTGGTACTGGTAGCAGTACTAGGCAACATGTTTTAAATGCAGAATAGTGTGTCACACCGTACGTGCTGCATGCGAGATTTGTGTTAGTGTGATTTCGCAACTCCCAAAGTAAGTAGGATATTAAAAACGGAGGATTTTACATACACGATGGGACGAGAGCAAGAGTTGCTACAAGCGGTGAAGTCGCAGGATACGGCCGCGGTCAACAAAATCCTCGCTAAAAACCGAGCCAGCAAATCAAGTAAGTCAAGTGATAGCTTTTGATGATTGTTTTGTCTGCCTTCCCCCCCACACGACCTTGCATGTGGTGATGATACAATAGTTACGGCCTACAGTAGTACAGCTGTCTCTTAGTCTTAGTCTTATAGTTATACCTCGTAACATCGTAAATATTAGTCTTCGAAGTCCAAGGAACTATAATAATACATCGAAGACGGAAAGAGTTAACAAAGTTGATTGAAATAGACTTGTATCTTAATTATAGTTAGGGTACTGGGGTAGTAGACTGATTAACTACTTGCTTTACTTATATAATTCACGTTTACCTTTATATGATTACCTTTTAGGGTACGTTTTGATGAAACTATGTTTATCGGCTTGATCAACTTTGTCTCTCTCTCTACTCTCTCTCTCTCTCGCTCTCGCCTCACTCTCTTTGTTTCTCTTTTCTCTTCTCCCCCCCCAGCCCCCCCTCGCCCCCCTCTCTCTCTCTCTCTCTCCTCGCCTCTCTCTCTCTCTCTCTCTCTCTCTCTCTCTCTCGTCTCTCTCTCTCTTTCTCCTTCCCGCTCTCTCTCTCTCTCTCTCTCTCTCTCTTCTCTCGCTCTCTCTCTATCTCTCTCTGGTCTGTTCTCTCATCCGTCTTCGGTATAGTTCCATAGACTGACGACCGCAATCATGTACGAGGTTATTGGAGTCTATGATTATGCAACTATATACCACCGTCCAGAGGCCGTATATATAGCATTTTATAATGGCTCTGCGCCCGTGGTGACACGAGCGCTGTCAAGCTGCATGAAAATCACACGTCTACGTAGCTTCACTGCTCTGCCTGGTATTATATACTACATAGCATTAGGGATGACAGTATATTGAGTATACTGACATATATTGATATAATTTCATGTAGAATCGCTTCAGCAAAGCTCCGTAGACCCCCCTCACGTTTCAAGCACTGGCGCGAGTCCTACACGGTTTAGGAGTGCGCATCATCATGATTGGATTTCTCGTGCATTACAGAAATGATAATACAGAACATGAAATCCGTTCATCCGCCTAAAAAAAAAAACGTGCGCGCCGAATGAAAACTACGATACTTTTAAGCGACTTGGCAGGCTCTCGCCCAAACTCCCGGCGAGTAGGCGGCCTATATAGTGAAGTAGGTTTAAAAAAACAAAATCGGAAAGATGCGTCAACAGATTGGAGATTTACGTCTAGCGTTCTTGAAAGCATTTGTGAGTACGGTATATTATGCAGTGCCGTTCGTACGGTACTATAAATATATATACTACAGTACTACTAGCTAAGCACATGTGTTTGTGTGCTAACTTGCATGGTTGAGTTATATAGGAAATTTTATACGGACAGGCAGTGTGGATGATTTCAGTCATATTAGACATATTCGTTTATAGATCCCGCACGTTATAGCTCTTCCTACTCCGCACGTCTGGGAGTTGTATTCCTATTAGGGGAGTAGATCCTCTCCTCCTCTCCTCTCTCTACTCTCTCTCTCTCTCTCTCTCTCTCTCTCTCTTCTCTCTCTCTCTCTTTCTCTTTCTCTCTCTCTCTCTCTCTCTCTCTCTCTTCTTCTTCCAT